TTAATTAAATGGTGAAAATTTCCCTTCTATGACCAGAAACAAGACCCTTACATTAAAGGCTCGGGACTTGTGTTGGCGACTTGTTTTTGTCCCGGCCCCAATTGTCCGTTGGATGACGTTAAATTCTTAAAATGTCCCTCCTCCCCAATAAACACTTATTTGCTGGTAGACATTGCAAAAAAGCGAAGGGTTGCCCTCGTCCCTTCGGGATTGTCTCCCGCTTGTTGTTTGAAAAGGGGGTGCATGGAGATCCTTGCAGTGAATTCGTGAACTTTGTTTGTTGTATAAACCAGCATTATTCCCGGACCTTGTTAGCCGGGTAAAGCATGCATACTAACCTCCTGAACAACTATGAAACTGCAATCGAACAAGGATGTGAGTTTAGGCTAGTGAGGCCGTTTAAATTTTTTAATTTGGAATAGATACGTGGATTTCAGATGGATGGGATCTATTTGTATAGAGAGTTTTGAATGTTCCTACTGGAATAAATATATGTTGGAGAGTTGTTGTCGAGAAACAACAAACGAAACAAGATGTCATAATTAGGGGAATTACGAATTCTGAAGTGAAAAGAGGCAAGAATTGAACCTCCGGATGCTAATCGTAGCAATCGTATGGCTAATGATGGTGGCACGAATGTACGATTGGGTTCGAATTGTAAAGTGATTGCAAACGACTGGACTTTTTGCTATTCGTGTGTTGTATTGTATGTTCATCGAGCTTAAAGTGCATCCAGATGCGTGTTGGCGTAATACGTGCAGCAAAAATTGCGCCTCGGCTCAGTGTTCTAGGCTATATGGTCGCGTCTTCTTGCCAGGTTTTCCGTGGGTCGTGTTGGTGTGCCGGCGTCAAGTTCAAGACAAAGGGGTCTACTCAACTCCGTCCGACTCAGGGACATCGTAGTGCCTCGACCGGACGATCGTCTAGCTGTCCTTCAATTGTTGTCCGTAGTAAAAATCCGAATTAGATTGAAATTTGTTTAATATTTTACCATCATTGAGTAATGTATTTACCAGGTATGTCTCTACCGTTTGCTTAGTAGTTTTTACCTCCCCCTCTTAGTTGAGTCACCCTTGTTGTCTAATGTTCCTACGACCGATACTTCTTCTGCTTCATTGGCGATCCATCGGGTTATATTCCGAATCAGTTAGGAACCGTAGACTCACTACAGACACTGGCGAAGGACAACAAGTAACTATTCGGACTTTGTAGCGTGAACAGCTCCAAGTCTCCCGTTTAAAACGTTTTATGTGGCCGTCATCCCCGAGTAGCTGTAAGAATTCTACTCTATTCTATATGAGTAATAACTAGGGTCTCAAAGTAATGATAAACCTGTCAGTTGGATGTAGAAAAGTCAGATTCAATATAGATGTTTTTTATTTTAAAGAAAATTCAGATTGAACATGGTAAAAAACTGTAAATTATAGTGTCCGTCCAAAAAATATTTTGTACTTATAGTGAAAACTAACCTTGGATGATGGGTTAGTAGACTAAAAGCTTTAGGAATCCAAAGTACAACATATAATAAGTACCCTGTATCAAGATTGATGCAAAACAATTGATATTTGACATTTTTAGACAGATTTAGCAAATAAAAACCTCTTCTGGGGCCATTTGGGTGGATTTTTCATATCTCTGGCTCCCCCTGCTGGATTTTGACATGTGACATCTCTTTCTAACCGTCAGAGCCAATGGAATCGAGGTTAGAAAGTCCTATTTGGTCATAGTCCTTATTTGCAGGGGTGCACACAACTTTCTCAGTGAGGTACTCAGATGAGTATAAGTGTTTGGTACTCCAACTTCCGGCTCCCCTCAAAGTTCCCATGAAGCCCTCTGTATCGCGTATATCAGCGGGTGGGGGTGCTAGTGGAGTATGATGAAGCCCTCTGTATCGCGAATGTCAACNGGGGGGGGGGGGTAGTAGTAGAGTGCAGAGCTTCGTGACCACAGAGCGTGTGAACGTTGTGATCAGCTGTTTTAGCGCAGTGCTGCTGTACAGGCCGACGTTAACAGCAGCCCTGTCTTTGCACACGGAGACCGACTCCGTCGTCCGGTGATCCAACCGCCTTATGGAAAAGCTTCACATATACATCGGTACGCAAATGCGCTTTGTGACACAAGTGACGGTACGCATTTCAGATTGTTGCCGCGCATGCGTACCTGCGTACCACTTATGTGCACCCCTGCTTATTTGGTCATGTGTGTGTGTTAGACTGACGCATAGCCAAGACCGGAAGCAGCAGCCACTATGGTGGCTACCATTAGCAGCTAACTTTTGCTCCGCGATTTTTACATAAAAATTGAATTATGGATTATAAATAATTCAAATTATTGCCCAGAAACTTTATCAACCTATGGATTAACCGATTCAGCCACGTTTTTTCTTGTTTTAATGCCATTGAACACGTCTTTTGATCAGATTAACAGCTACGGTGAGACGATCTCCCTAGAAGCTACGTAAAGGTACGTGTTGTGATGTCTGTCTTTGCTTCCCCTGTCGCAAGTTCGGATCACTCAGTGATAATACCATATACCTAAATAATCTGTGGAACCTCAGCTTTAATCGGATATCTTGTATGTGCAGCTACGATAAGTAATAAGGGTACTTTTATCTTGAGTTCTGTGCCAATGTCCGTTAGCATTTTTCGCTAAGGGGTCATTTAGATGCTTCTTATGAGACTTGTGTTTTGTTTTGGTAAAAATTGTTTATATCGTCAGTTAGCTGAGATTATTTCCGTTAATCTGGTATAACACATTAATAGGTTCTTAAATATTAAGATCCCCTGAGACACAGTGTCGTGACAAAAAAACCCAGGGTCCCCACCGGCGGGGACCTTGGGGCTTAACAGGTTTTAAACATCCTGCATTTATGGAGCAACTTTAGCATTCCTTTGCGGGTTGAAAGCAAAAGTCAGAAACCTGAAACTTGCCGTAAAGCTCCAGAGGGCTGAGGGGAACTGCAAAGATCATTCTCTGTTGTTGACCTCGTTCACATACAAGTAGTCATGCAATCCATTGTAAACAAAAGTACTGCTTATAGTCCTCAAACAGTCAATAGACGTGTTGTATATGTTTACTCTGTTTATCACAATGGGGAAAACGATGAGAACTTATGAAACTTCAGCATGAGGCTTGAACTTGGGCCAACACAAGACAATACATCAAGGTGGATAGATTTCACAATGTAGGCCTGACAGTAAACAAAGCTGTTGATTTCTTTCTCTCGTTCTCTCTGTTTGCTGATCACAACCAACTTGAAGCAATTTTATATTACAAAGATTATACTGAGTGTGGTTTGTGGTACACAATGATCTGGCATCATTTTACATTCTGTTGATTGATTTGTTGCACAGACAGTAATTTGTCATGTGACTCTATGTAACACTACAATAGTCTTCCATGCTGGTTGAGTGACAGCCTCTTAAATTACGCTCCTTAATCTCTTCATCCACAATTTTACACTTGTAACCTCTCCCCTCTGAAGTCCATCTTGAAGCCATAAAAAAAGGAACCCATGTTGCCTCCCGGGTGTGTACATGCTGGTTCTTGCCCTTTTTCCAATTTCTAAATGTTTGTTTGTTTGAACTTTAAGCCACGGAAACCAATAGATGTTTACAAACAACTATTTGATCTGAGATATTCCATCAATGGAAAGTGAAGGCTTCTCATGCAAATAATGATACAAAAGCCGCAAGATGAATTGCAGTAAATAAGAAACCAATTTCAGCATGGTTTTTATTTTAACCAAATTCATCATCCCTTAAAATGTCACCACAGATTAAAGCAATTTCGTTTTTCACACAAACAAGTGAAGTGACCATAACACAATGTGGGGGGCCAATGAGAATTCCCCGTTTCATAGATATAACTCCGGAGGAGACCATGCGTGTCATTTGGCGCCAACTGATCCACGTTGGCAAGAAGCTTCTGATTATGTCCCAGGTTGAAGTTTTCCCTAACTTCTCTATGACTAGACATGGTAGAGTCAAAAAGTATTGCGTATGAGTGCGATGTGAAACTGAGACTGTGGTGTCTTTGAGAGGTATTTTCAATGCGTTCCCCTTGTGCACTCATATATGATATGAATGTATTGATTTAAAAAAACACCATGCTGCCCCACAGGGAGTAAAAGCCTGTTTCGTGTGAGGCACTTTGGATACAGAGCGGGGAAACACAGCACAATGTAACAAAGGCTGTTCATTATCTGCATGATTAAGCATGCTTCTTTAGGCTTGGTGTTATCTGATAAAAGAGCACAGCTGTGCTATATTTGCTGGGGCTGTGCGCTTTATCCCAAATTAATAAAAAAAAGAGCCTCGTAGAGTAACCCAGGACATTCTGCAACATGTGGCTCTCTATAGGGACATTCAATACATTTAAAGTATGTAAATGACTTCTGGGACGATTATCAACAAACAAACAAACAAACACTAATCCATTGGCTGAAGCAGGTGGGATAAGGTGCAGATGCACACAGGGGGTCTATGCATCATCACAGTTGTTAGGTACAGATCACTCCACTAAAACCATGCAGAAACAACAGCAGTTTACCGAAACACTGATGGTGTTGATGGCCTGTCAAGAAGAAATGGTGAGATATTTAGTTTTGGGGTTAAAAAAATGTGTATCTTTACAAAGCTACCATTTCTGGGCCTGTTAAAAGTTTTGCCTGATGCTTTACTTGAGCTTCAGTGATAAATGCCTGATGGTATAAATCTGGTCTCATTGCCGCTTTAAAGTCACTCACCTGGAAAGCATCTAGAAGCTTCCCATTGAAGTCGATGATGTCTGAGGAGCCTGCGTCGCCTTTTTCACCAGGATAACCCTGAGGAATATACAGAGACAAATTAATGGGATAAACATAAACAAAGGAAGTTCATCAAACAAGTGTTGTTGAATGATTTTAGAGGGCTAATACACATACCGTCGATCCCTGTGGTCCTTGCTCTCCTATTTCTCCTTTGTCTCCCTGTTGGATCACACATATGGCATTGTTTTGTAAAAATCTCTAAGACAATAGACTCCTAACTGTGAATAAATATTGTTATGACAAAGAAGAGTACACATTTTTGATGTAGGTATTTCCGAATGCCATTTAGTCTTTTACCCTAAATCCTTGAAGTCCATCCATGCCTCTTTCTCCTTTTTCTCCTGTGCCTGCCTCGCCCTGTTTCACACACAACATTAAATGCCAATACATGAGAAGACAAATCCATCAAAAATACTCAGCGTGCAAAGTAAAATAACTGATGAGTAATGCTTTTCTCTACCTTCGCTCCTTGAGGACCCTGTGATCCTGGATACCCGGGCTCACCATCTTCTCCCTGCCAACAGAATCAATAAATGTCAAAATTACAAACTGTTGCTCACATGATACTTCTGAAAAATGCAATTAAGTTGAGAAAAAGTAAGAAATATTTTAACGTACCGTCTTCCCAGGCGTTCCTTGTGGCCCCTGAAGCAGACATACATATATAATAATTATCCAGAGAAAGAAAAATAATCACAGCAAACCTATAATATGAAGTGATGAACAACAATCTGAAGTGGATTTGAAGTAGACTCACCTCAGCACCATCACGACCTGGAAACCCCTGAGGATGACAGAGAAGAAATGTTATAGTGTGTGATAATAAAAAAAACGACGTACTGTGCACTTTTCTTTTAGTTTGATATAAACTGCCATGAGGTGAAGGAAAGATGTGACATGGACTCAGGAACAGACAAACTATGGTTGAAACCCCACTGTTGTCTTTTTAAAAAAGGGAACATAATTGCATATATCTAGGCCAGTGTTTCTCAAACTTTTTCATACCAACGACCACTTAACCAATAAAAAAACACTCGCGGACCACCTAACTCCACAAATATCCAAAAACACATCGTTTTTCTAGAACAGATTACAAATCGCCTGAAGATGGTACAAACAAGTGGCCACATGTGTGATGAAGGTGTTTATCTGGGCTATATCATGCAATCGAAAGTGAAACTTAAGCTCGCTCCATTGCGGAGATATTCTCACGAGAGTGCGGAAAACTTAAATTAATTAATTAATTTCAAATGTGAAATGTTACCAATATACTCACGGACCACTAGGGGGCGCTCACGGACCACCAGTGGTCCGTGGACCACACTTTGAGAAGCACTGAATTACAGCATTATACAGAAGTACATGTAGTAGTATTTTT